ACTGTGTTACACTGTACCCAGTTCATAGCATTTCATGTCAGTATATTTATTCTGAAGCACCCGGTAACACCTGTTCTGTGTACCTGGTGTCAATACTATCACAAAGTAAATCATACAACAAAAATTAATCAGAAAACACCTTGTACTCTATCCCTTGACCGGTTGCCACCAAAACATAACGTGTATGATTGGGTTCTACAAGGGATATACTGTAAACGTATTACATTTAGCGGTGTATTCTTTTTAGCGATTTTGGCGGAAAACAGAGTCCGCTAATTCAAGTACATCGCTAAATGTCCTGTATGTTAACTTTTATAACCAGAAACTTCAGAACAGCGCTAAATCAAATCTACGCTAACTTGTTGAAAATTGAATTTCTGCCAAATATCGTACACGACAAATGTAATACATTTACAGTATATATACAGAATATAGGTTTTTCGCTCACTATGTGAGTAAATGATTGAAATTATAATTATAGGGCCGCTCTAGCTGAGGGGAAATTACACTGTCTGCTCCTTCGGCTAACTTAAAGCCTGACATGCCCCAATAATAAAACGTTGCTTTATAAACCCTTGGACTGGTCTATGCCAAGGGTAGTCAGGTCATCCCAATATATTCGGTCTTCTGTGCGTTTATCTAAATGCCCCTTAACAAGTATAGGTTATTTTTCCAGAATGATACTCCCTTATGCCCTATTTTTCCTAATCTATCATAGTCATTTACTCAACTAATATTTGGACCAGTTTCAAAACTTTTTCAGAACATTAAATTTTAGGGCACAATAAAGTATTGAATTAAAGTAATAATGTTGGCATTCTTTTATCATTTTAGTTGCACAGCAGATGGCAGAACATCGGTGGCCCAATCATATTATGGTTATATTATCACTGTTGGGTTACCTTTATTGGGCCAACGGAAACATGGAATATTGATAGTTGGTTATGTATAATGGGGCCAATGTTGGGCTATATAACTGTTGGCGTTATATCAAAAAAACTATTATCATGAGAGAGAATATTTGTTGGGGATTGTTATCGGCCCTAAGTTGGCCCAGTATACTATGAATATGGCTGAGCATCATAGGTAGACAACATTCGGGCTACTTGTAATATCCGCGCCATTTTTAATCTGACACGAGCGTAATGAGACTAATACCTTGCATATCTGCATCCAATTTATAAGTATTTATTACATGTTTGCTTCGACACAGCTTTATTAACGTTTAGTTTAAACGATGCCGTGTACAAATCTGTGTAAATCAGACACGAGAAAGTACAGATACCAGGTGCTGTAGTGTAAGGTCAACACTGTTGAGCACATGGTACGTCAAACTTCTTGAAAATGATGAAGTAAAAAACAAAATTCATTCAGTACTAGAACATGAATTGGGTGGTTCTCATTGTAGCGACAAATTTTCTATACATGTATTTTACTTTGAATAATGATTTATATGGGGCAACATTAAATCAAAATGGGTGTGATGATGATGATCAATCGTGGAAATGTTTGCATAAATGCCTTTATCACGCAAGCTAATCCCTTTATCACACCATGAAACAAAAAAAAAATACGGTTATTCCTTAATTGACAGCTTAAACATACACTGAACCAAACTTCTAAGTGTTCATCTAACATTTTTTAAGTTTTAAAGAAAAAATGCAAACAATTAATAATTTCGTGAATTCATGCTTAATAATGCATATTTCAGTTCAATGTTGCGTAAATTTCATGTAAGTATCTCGTCAGAATTTTTAGCTAAGTGTCAGGGAAATGATGTACCCTCAAAATGAAAACTCATACAAAGATATTTCTTTGGAGTAAGACTACCATTCGCTCTTTTACTGCAAGACATACTTTACTGTTGGATACAATGTACCCCTGAATATGAGAATGACCCATCTGCTGCCACACCTACTGCCTAGATTTTTCCAAACCGTTGAAATTGAGTAGAAGGGGGGGGGGGCTTTAAATTTCTTATAAAAATCAAAAATGTGTTCAATGGGGTTCAGATCTGGAGATCTGAAGATGCATCATCACACAGAGGTTTTTGGGTCAATATCCTTGGACGTTTATCACGTAAGGACACCGCTTTAAGGATGACTCAGAGTACATGAGCTGATATCAGACTGTCACAAGCACCGATTTCTTTTTCATACGATATCATTTTCATACGATTGAATTCTTTTGTTTTCATGTTTCTAACATTGTTTCAGGACAATTTAACTGTCTTTAAATCTGGTGTGACGCAAAATTTCGGCATCACACGAAGAACAAAGTCACTTCCGGTTTGGTTAAATTTTGTCAAAAAGTTTCTAATTGTGATAAATTGGCGATGAAAAAGACGCACAGCCTATCAAAAAATGTGTTTAAATGGGTTTTGATACGGATTGTTAATTTTTAAAAGTAATATCAAGTACAACTAAACACTGAAATAAAAGTTAGTAAAACGTGGTGCGAGGATGGTCCAGATATCAACATTCTAACGGCTCTCCCTTCTTTCTCAATGGTCATTTTGCCAATGTTTTGTGTTTTTTAGTGAAACCGGTTTTTAAATTTTGATAATGATCACAAAAATTTACTGATTACACAAAACACGTGCCACAAAGTAAGGATTTATTGTTTTTAAGGTTCGTCATGGATCATTGGTTTTCATCGCTGATATCTATTTTTCTTTCTACAATTGTTGAGACGACTGATTTGTTGTAATAATTTGAAAATATCATACCATTCCATCGAGTAGGTTTTAAATAAATACATTTATAAAAGTGAACACTTAGAAGTTTTGTTAAGTGTATAGTGATATATATATACAATTTAATCGTATGTTTACTCTTTAATGAGAAAAGTAGGAAAATGTATTAAGTACCAAATACTACAATTTTAGTGAGTGCTACCGGAGATTCCTAAAAGATATTGAGATCACAATCAAAGAATATGGCTAAGGTATGCCAAAGACAGGGAAAGGGGAGGAAGAAACGGACAGAGAAGAAAAGAAGGGGGAGGAGGAGACTCGGGAGAGGGATCAGATGGAAAGTGGCAGTGCCTAACTTTTTTTCTGTTATATACTGTGACATACCCGTAGTTCTACCCTTTTCTGTGTCTGTTTGGCGGTAAGAAATACGATGCAGATGCAAGAAACATTATTTTGTTTAGGTAAACAAAATGGCGGGATAATTTTAAGATACAAAATTCTTTACTTTACATAATTATTTCCTCTTAAGGTAGGGTGTTGCGTTTCTTTTGCGTGTCAGTATAGTTTGTTGTTTCAATTTTGAGGAATGACCAACCAGTGAAGAGCAAAAGAGTTGTTCTGAAGGAGAACCAATAAGATACAAACAACATTTGGCCAAAAAATGATGTTTGCGTAATATTGAAAGAATAAGTGACCATACAATGGCTCAATAATATCCGTTCGTTGGTTTAACAATAGGCCAACAAGTTGATCTGATTAAGGGCCGATGAGCAAATTGCCGTTGGCCCAACATTAATTGCTTACAATGGTCCAACTGTACAAAAATGACGTTTGCCCAGTATTGAAAGTTTACATTGGCCATACAGTGGCCCAATATTAACTGTTACATTGGCCCAACAATAAGCCAAGAAGTTGGTCTGATTAAGGGCCGATGAGCAAATTAATTACCGATGGCCCAATGTTGCATGCATACAGTGGTCCAACAAAGGTCCAATAACATGCTGCTATCTGGGACTATACTTAGTGAGATATTCACACATTCTGTGTGAACAACATTCAGAAAAAATTAGAAAAATTGGATGTCCGCCAATTCGCCGTATTAACGCTATTTTCATGAAAGCCAGCGTATTTTTTCGGACTCAGTATAAAATTAAAATTAGATCTAAAACGTGCTGTAGTGTTTTATGGAAAATAAGACACAATCAAATTTTAATTATTCAATGCACTCTGGAATTGAATCTTTCACACTGGCGGATTTAAGGGGGGCGTGGGGGGCGCACGCCCCCCCCCCCCTAAAATTTTCAAAGTATGATGTGACTAATATTTATAATGCCACATTTTGGTACAAAACTAACCAAATAACTGTTATTCTGCCTGGTTTTATTCTTAAAATACACAAAAATCCAGGAGCTTCCGGGGGCTGCGCCCCCTGGGCCCCCACCCAAAGAATGACATGGCCCCCACCATTCAAAGTATGACATGACTAGTATTAAACACGTCGTACTTTGGTACATCACTAACCAATACCACTATTAGTAAGTAATAAGTAATTAAATCGTTTATTATATAGTGGCATGTGTTACAATACAATGAGAATTGAGAAACATTCAATACATTTATTATTCAAACATCCGGACCTATATGCTATATACTTTTAACAAAAATAATTGAAAAATATGCAGTATTATAATTGTGCCTGGTTTTACTCTAAAATACATGAAAACCCAGGAGCTTCCGGGGGTTTCGCCCCCTGGGCCCCCACATATATGCTATATACTTTTAACAAAAATCATTAAAAAATATGCACTATTATTGTGCCTGGTTTTACTCTAAAATACACGAAAACCAAGGAGCTTCCAGGGGCTTCGCCCCCTGGGCCCCCACCACGGCTTCGCCCTGGACCCACTGTGGGCCTTAAGGAGGCCCCCAGACCCCTTGCCTCAACAAAGTTATCCACGCCCCCCCCCCCAACCACAAATCCTGTATCCGCCCCTGTTTCAACCCACTCAATTAATCTTTTTTTTAAAAATTCATCATTGTTCATCTTTGTCCGAGATTAGCACGTTTCGTAGTTGAGTTTGACTTTTCCACCTGCATGCAGTTTTAACGCTGTTTACATGGATAAAACATAACATTGAAAGTGTAAACGAGTGTATTTCTGAGGAGGAAAAGGGCCCATTAAGAATTTCCGTAAGTGCAGTGGCTTGCCGTCAAAATGTATGTAAAATAAGACCTTAAATTGTGATTTCCACAATCAAATGTGATGTCGCCATATTGAAATTGGTGTTTGCCACATCTTTGATAAAATATCTTATCTTACCTGGTAAGAAATTACTGTTTTTTTCAGTAACGATTAAAGTTACAAATAACAGTATACCATTGACAGTAAATTAAATATCACACGTAGTAACTTTCGATTTCAAGCAGGTATCTCTTTATTCTCTTTAGAGAAGTGGACAGGCTTTCGCCTACATCTTGATGTAGGTGAAAGCCTGTCCTCTTCTCTAAAGAGAATAGTATCAGAGAATAGTCTTCAGTGTTAAATTAACAAAGATCCTTCTTCTTTGAATTAAAGTAATAATGTTGGCATTCTTTTATCATTTTAGTTGCAATACACTCCGTGAGATATTCCCACATTCTATGTGAACAACATTCAGAAAAAAATGGATGTCCGACAATTCGCCGTATTAACGCAATTTTCATGAAAGCCAGCAATTTTTTTTCGGACTCAGCATATTTGAAATAGGCTAGGGACTCTGACCAAAGGTCAACAAGTCCCAAAATTTATTTTTACCATAGCTTTAAAACTATGCAATTTGTGAATTTAAAACATTTACAGTTTGTTAATGTATTATTGATTAACAGATAGAATGTATCACTTGATAACAAATACTCAAAAAAGAATGTTTATCGGGAAAAATTAATATTTATTTAAAAAAATGCATATTATACTTTTACAAAATACACCTTAGTACATCCCAACTTTTAGTGAAATTCATCATCACAGAAAGAAAATATGTATATCAATGAAGGGCAAGTAGGTCTTCGATAGCCTCTGGAAAGTTGTTTCTCTGTTTATTTTGTCCAAATTTTAGGACTTGAAACCGAAAGTACAATGTAAATGGCGGATTTTATAGGAGTCTTGTCTTAATACATATCATGCTTTTAATAACATTTTTCATAATGGTTTTCGCTAAAAGTACTGCAAAAAAGATGCATTTTCTGTGAGTGCAATATGGCCACGCACTTTGTGAAAAAAATTCAGAATGCGTTAAAAATATTGGAGAAAAAAGAATTAAGAGAAACGCAATGATTTTCCCTTTCAGAGGAAATACACTGACAAACTGTTTATCACCATTGTCTTCATATCATTGTTTTTTTTTTTTAAATAGTTATCTCTGCAAAGAGCGTCGGTCGAAACTCGTCTCGCCAGTGGAAAAGTCAAACTCAACCACGAAACAATGCATGTATGTGCTAATCCCGCACAGAGATTTGATTGGCTAAAAATATGTTTCTAAAAAGTGTTGTAGTGTTTTCATGGAAAATGAGACATCATCAAATATAGATTATTGAATGCACTCTAGAATTGAATCTTTCAACCCACTCAATTTTTTTTTAATATTCATCTTTGTCCGAGATTAACACATACTGTTTCGTGGTTGAGTTTGACTTTTCCACCTGCATGCAGTTTTTGCCTCTGTTTACAGGGGGAAAAAACGCAAAAACATATACATACCATAAATGGTTGTGTAGATTAATTATCGTGGAAGACAACAGTAATAAACAATATGCCAGTGTGTTTCCTCTGAAAGTGTAAACGAGTTCGTTCTGAGGAGGGGATACTAACTTTGTGTTATTATTATACTATGGGTTAAAAAGTTATTTACGTAACACGTGCCTGTGATAAAAAGGACACATTAAGAATTTCCTTAAGTGCACTTGCCTTTAAAATGTATCTAAAATTAGACATTGTGATTTCCACAATCAAATGTGATGTCGCCATATTGAAATAGGCGTTTGCTAAAGTGTTTCAACATCTTTGATGAAAATCTAATTTTACCTGGTAAGAAATTACTGTTTTTTTTCAATAATGATTACTGTTACAAATACCAGTGTAACATTGACTGTTAATTTAAAATGTTTTCGAAATATCATACGTAGTAACCTTCGACTTCAAGTAGGTATCTCTTTAGAGAAGTGGACAGGCTTTCGTCTACATCTTGATGTAGCTGAAAGCCTGTAGGCCTACACTTCTCTAAAGAGAATAGTATCAGAGAATAGTCTTCAGTGTAAAAATAACACAGATGCTTTAATATCTTTTACAATTTAATGCAAAAAATCAGGAAAACAATCGTAGCCACTATGTGTTCTATTGATTGTATTAATTAAGCGTTTGGCGATCTACAAAAAAGAAATAATCATAGATCTAAAATCAAACTAGAGGTACTGTGAGGGAGCAATGAGCTCACTATGTCATACCCCCGCCTCCCATATGAATATAATGGCCGAGTTCTGTTTTGCTATGGAAAACCCAAAATATGTGTCGAATCAAAAAGTAAAATAGGAGGTACAAAATGGCAATATGTAATAAAGAATCTTTGAAAATTTCATCAAATGTCATTCAGTGTATGAGAGGAGTATATTGTTGCGGATACGAGATGGGTACCCCAAAGCGTAACAAACTGATGGACAGACATCCCGATTACTTTTCAAGCGGGGGTATAACTACAGAGGTATTGTGAGCAATGAGCTAGATACCTCGCCCCACGCCTTAGCGTAGTTCGCCGATTTGATGCTGAAAATTTTTGAATAAACATTTAGTATCCATTTTCTAATAATTTTTTAAAAGGTTTATTACACACACATGTACTTCATTCACAAGTATATATTTTCATTGAGCAATAGTAATGACTTCCACGGCGATGCATTATACCTATGAAACACTAAATGCATTCTTCCCGCACCTCAGATCTCCACATTTTTTCCTTATTCAAAATAAGGAAAAAATGCGGACGGGAGTATTTGGACTAATTTTCCGCATTCATTCCAGATTTTCGTATATTCAAATTTCCAGATTTTCTCCATATTCAAAATATGGAGAAAATGTGGATGGGAGTATTTGGACTCTTTTTCCGTATTCTCTCCAGATTTCCGCATTTCCATATATACAAAATATGGAGGTATTTACTTGGTTGATAAAATGCGGAAATACGGAAATCTGGAGAAAATACGGAGTTAATCACATGGTTATAAAATGGCTAATAAAACCGCTACATGATGCATACATACATAAATATTTACAAAACCATCAACAATGTGCAACATTATATACAATTTATTATATTATGAGAAAAAAACATATAAATGAATGAACAAAATTACACATTATGTTCATGAGCAATGTATTGGATCTTATATCTTTGACAAACAAAGAGGAGCATGTATGGAAAAAAAACTGGAACTCTTATTTAAGCCACAAGTTCATCATGGAAAAAATGTGGCATTTTTTAATATTCATATTAAATAAATGGAAATTTATTCATTCTATTTAAGCAAAAGTGGGAGTGAAATGTTCAACACTATTAGATATTGGGGAAAAAATAACAATTGACATAGCATTGAATATTTACAAAACAAGAAATTTTTTTAGACATTTTTTATCAATCTGGATCACATTTGCCATTTTCTACCTGCATCCCTGATTCATATTTCTCACAATTCAATTTATATCTAAGGTCTGTGCTTTACACCCATCTGTCCAATAAAAATTTTCTTCAGACTTCTTTGTAATTTGTAAGGTCTCTGCATGTTTAATTTCTTGCAGCAGCACTTGCGGTCGAATTGGCAAATCCTATCAATTAAAAAAAAAGTACTTAAATTATAATGGTGCTATATTAATAAAATTTAAATTCATTGCTTTTATTCCTTTTAAAATCTTTTTATAAACACAAGTTTGGGTTCTTCAATTTAATATCAATTTGTTTAAAATATTATTTATAATAATGACAATCATAGTTGACTGTTTTTAATTATTAAACAAGCAATAAAAAAAGAAAAAAAAAATATATATATGTAACAGACTTGTGTTGAGGTAATTGTATAGTCGTTAAGAATGAACAACAAGGCTGTTGGTTCGAGTTGAACAAGACAGTAACTCTTTATTCGATGGATAGATAATCATCAATCATCATCAAAACCCTATAATGAAATAACAAATTATAAATTCTAAGCATAAAAACTATAAAGCTATTCATCAATATATATGTACAAATCAATATATCATATAGCTTTATCCGAATCAAGGGAGATAATTCAATTACATGAAAATTACATAATAAAATCTCCCATTGCTTTAATTAATGAATATTTAGAATAAAATCTTTACAATAATTATTATTCCAATGTATATGTACATTATCAATTATTGTTTAGCATAAAAACAATGAACATGCGTACCATTCAATGGGAATGGGTCAAATGCTGTACAACAGCATATAAGCTGCATACACAAAACTGTATATGTACTAGGATAATATCTACAAATCAACAATAAACACCTTTGTAGATATCTATACTAATCATAAAATAAAGTTTACTTTAAAAATATGAAAAAGTGAGACAGCACTGTATTTACTATTTACACATAACTCTATATCTAAGGTCTCACTCTCACTATACATTTACTCCAGAAAAGTGATTAAAGGAATTAAGTGCAAAAATTACAGATTTCACATTTACTAGAATTAGAATTATATTACTCATTAGTATTAAAGAATTACTTACCATGCAATAGGAAATGTTGGTCTCAAGGTCAATGTCTGATTTTTGTAAAACAACTATGGAAAATCAGAGACAAAAACACTTCCAACACATATGGCAACCAAGCAAGAATTACCCAAAAACACAAAGAAAACTTGGAGGGAAACACAAAAACCAATAGAAAACCATAAGACAATACTAAAAAACCAATGAAACTAAAAGATACAAAATGACCATGGCCAGAATATAATTAGCACCCTGAGGCTAACTCTGGACCTCTCTGGAAAAGAATCATTTAAAAATCAATACACTTAACTACAGGTTAAATGAATAATTACATAATTCAGCTGTAGAAGTGTGCTGCAAGTAAAAACATATATAATTAAGTAAATGAATAGATGCACATGCAATATGCATTGCTATGCACATGTGCATAATATATAAAACATGAGTCTGTCACATATACCTCAAACATAACCATCCATGGACCAAGCTTTAAGCCCGTTAAAATCGCAGTAAGTTGAACAAGCACTTATTCTTTTTCAGAAATCTCCTCATGCACAGACGCTACCAAAAAAAAAATGTATGGTAAATCATTGCTAGAGATTACAGCCCATGGCTCCCCAAAATTAACACCTTTAATTGTGGTAAACCATAATAAAATTCTATGAGCTGATTGAAAGATTTGAATCATGGGCATATTGGCTGAAACGTACGTAGCCTGGTAGCTCAGTCCTAGGCCCTAGCCGCCTAGAGTATTTATTTTCATCATCACAGTGACACACATGTTAAAAAAATATGACTGACCTACCGCATATGAAATACGTGTATCTGCATCTTTTGGTTGATACAGCAATACGATCTCAGGCTGTTTGGTCAACAAACTTCCTCCTTTAGACAGAGCAGACGTTGCAACATGGAGGCCAAGGTTAAATTTTGGCGGTCTGTTGTTTAAATTAATTGATCACTGAGCCCGACTTTTTGAAACATTCTTCCGATCCCGATCAAATTGTTCATAACATTCAGGAGAAACAGAGAACTGCTGTTAACTCCAAGACAGTTTTTATGCACCCAAATTTTTTTCGGGGTGCATATTGTTTTTGTCCTGTCTGTCTGTTTAGCTGTATGTCTGTCTGTTTGTTTGTCTGTTGTCAACTTTAACCTTCGCCATAACTTTTGAACCGTGAGACTTAGAGACTTCATATTTGGTATGGATACTTCACTACAAAAACACTTTCAACTGACACCAAGATCAATGACCTTATGACCTTGATTGTGACCTTTATGCTAAAAATAGCTTTTTCGAACTTTCGCCATAACTTCTGAACCGTGAGAGATAGAGACTTCATATTTGGTATGCATACTCCACTAATTAGGCACTTTCAACTGACACCAAGGTCAATGACCTTGTGACCATGACTGTGTTCTTTATGCTAAAAATAGCTTTTTGGAACTTTCGCCATAAATTCTGAACGGTGAGAGATAGAGACTTCATATTAAATTTGGTATGCATACTCCACTAATTAGGCACTTTCAACTGACACCAAGGTCTGTGACCTTGACTGTGACCTATATGCTAAAAATAGCTTTTTCAAACTTTCGCCATAACTTTAAAACCGTGAGAGATAGAGACTTCATATTTGGTATGCATACTCCACTAATTAGGCACCTTCAACTGACACCAAGATCAATGACCTTGTGACCTTGACTGTGACCTATGTGCTAAGTATAGCTTTTTCAAATTTTCGCCATAACTTTTGAACCATAGATGATAGAGACTTAATATTTGGTATGCATACTACACTAATAAAGTGCTTTCATATGACACCAAGAACAATGATTGTGTGACCTTGACTGAGACCCATTTGCTAAAAATTGCTTTTTAGAACTTAATGTTGCCGCCAGGTGCTACTGTGTCTCACAAACACATCTTGTTCTTGATGAAAAAATTCTAAGTCCAGAGCTCCGTATTTTTTCCGGATGAAAAATATTCTAAGTTAAGAGTTCAATATTTTTCCAGATGAAAAATAGACTAAGTCCAATTCTCCGTATTATTTCCGTTTATTTTCCGTATTATTTCCGTATATTTTCTGCTTTTCCATATTGTTAATTTTCTCCGTATTTTTTTCCACATTTTTTCCATATTAAAATGAGGAAAAAATGCGGAATAATGCGGAAATCTGGAGATGTGAGGTGCGGGTTAGCATCATACAAGAACAAATTATTAAAATTCAGTAGTAAAACTTTTTAGAAATCCTGAAATGGAAAAAATGACTTTAGTAATTGCATTTTTCAATTTTTTGTTTATATATTTAAATATGAAATTATTTATATTTTCTGGATTGTAGTTTATTCAATATTATACACCTATTTACTGGTTATGAGGACAATAGCAAGTTTATCGTCCACCAAGACAAAAAACTATTTCCAGAGGCGCAGCTGAGACAAATAGTATGCTGTCGAGGGGGGGCGATAAACTTGCTATTGTCCAAATAGTCAGTAAATAGGTGTTTTATTATACCGATGCTGACTTTGCTTTTGTTACGTCATAATATATACGTCACAATCCGTATAAAACCAAAAGTCTTCCGAGATGAAAAGCGAGGGAAACAGAATGCTGCCGGTGAATAGTTTAATGACTATTTCACCATGGGCAGATAGCACAAAAACTATTTCACGGTTGGGGCTGTTTGGAAAAGATAGCATGTTTATTCGTCATATTTTTATATAGAACAAATTCACAGAGGTATAATAATAAGTTATGTTTAATTTATTTCAGTAATGCAATGGATAGAAAAGACCACAGACAAGAATTAAATACCAAAGACGAGGTACCAGGTAAAGTCAAAAGAGAAGAAGAGCTAGTATCCCGACCTGAGAAGAAAGGCGCCAGTCAGAGCGAAGAAATCCAAGATGACAGAGAGGAAAAGAAAGACAATTCTGATTTTGACCAGGATGTTTGTAGACTTTTGAGAAAAATAGGAGAAAGAACTTTAATATCTTTGTTTGCCAAAGAAAGGGTAACCATGGAAATTTTGATGGATCTAGATCACGCAGATCTTTGTAGACTTGGAGTTAATACATTTGGTCAAAGACACAAGATATTAAAGGCAATGAAAGAATACAGAGAGAAGAAGGGTAATATTTATTATATTAAATGATACTGTTTGTGAGTGAGATCATTAATAATTTTAAAACCTCATGTAATAGGTTAACAGCCGCAAATTTTTTATTTAAACATTATTTGAAACTTTCAAAGCTATGGTTTGTTCATCCTCGTGCGTCGTTTGTGACGTTAATGAATAGCATCTATGAGTGAAAATACAGCAGCATATATTCAGGGGGTCGGAAGACTGGGTCTAACTCCATTAAAATTCATGCAGATTTCAAAAGTATATCTTTTGATATTCTAATACACGTAGATGTTTAAATGCAAAATGATTGCATTATAATTTTAAGCACCATAGGGTCTCTACCAAGTTGACGAAAATATGTTTTCTATTTCCACGATTCAAGCATCGGGTTCCTTACTTCCTTTATAACTATTTTTTTAATGTTTGTGTCCATGGGATTCAGTATTAGGACCCTTTGAACGAAGTTGGTCATGCCTTTAGTACATGTATTCAATAACATGATTGTAAATATTCCTTTACAGCCACGAACACGTCACAGGCAACTGATTGCACATAAAATTGAAAAAGTTTCCAGACTTCTTAATAACGACTGAAAAATTAATGTTCTCGGTTTCATATGGTTCTACTTTTGTTTTTTAATATTGTAGGTATTTTTGTCATATTGTTTCAATTACAAAATTTTGACCAAAAATGTAGGTCATGCTATCCTGGTTTTGGAATTAATGGTTCTAATTGAATATTCTAGATTTAAGATGGCTTAGGAAAATCAAACTATGTCAGTTGATCTATCATGGGTCTCCAAATGTAGATCACCGTGTCCTAATTTTGGAATTCTATAGCTATATCTAAAATAACGCTCAATGGGAAAAATGGACTTTGGATTTTCAAATTTTGTCATTTAATGCATCTTCGGTTTACAGAGTTTATAAACAAAAAAGTACATTACTGTAATTTTTGTTTTGAATTTCACTCATTACTCTTAATTTATAATAACAAGAGGCCCATGGGCCACATCGCTCACCTGAGCACTAAGGGTAGGAAAAAGTAGAAAATGGCTTTTTATTGTAAAGTTTAAATCCAAAAGTAGTCCCATGACCAATCATGGATTTGCTATTTTTTAGAAAATGACTTTTTAAAAATTTTCCTATATATATTTTTAAAAACTTTGGTCGGCCATTTTGGCCCCGCCCTACCCTCGGGGGTCATGATTTGAACAAACTTGAATCTACACTCTCTGAGCATGCTTCCATATAAATATGATGAATTATGGCTCTGTCATTCTTGAGAAGAAGATTTTTAAAGAATTTTCCTATATATTTCTATGTAAAACTTTGGTCGGCCATTTTGGCCCCGCCCTACCCCAGGGGGTCATGATTTGAACAATCTTGAATCTACACTACCTGAGCATGCTTCCATATAAATATGATGAATTATGGATTTGTCATTCTTGAGAAGAAGATTTTTAAAGAATTTTCCTATATATTTCTATGTAAAACTTTGGTCGGCCATTTTGGCCCCGCCCTACCCCCGGGGGTCATGATTTGAACAAACTTGAATCTACACTCTCTGAGCATACTTCCATATAAATATGATGAATTATGGCTTTGTCATTCTTGAGAAGAAGATTTTTAAAGAATTTTCCTATATATTTCTATGTAAAAATTTGGTCGGCCATTTTGGCCCCGCCCTATCCCCGGGGGTCATGATTTGAACAAACTTGAATCTACACTCTCTGAGCATGCTTCCATATAAATATGATGAATTATGGATTTGTCATTCTTGAGAAGAAGATTTTTAAAGAATTTTCCTATATATTTCTATGTAAAACTTTGGTCGGCCATTTTGGCCCCGCCCTACCCCCGGGGGTCATGATTTGAACAAACTTGAATCTACACTCTCTGAGCATGCTTCCATATAAATATGATGAATTATGGATTTGTCATTCTTGAGAAGAAGATTTTTAAAGAATTTTCCTATATATTTCTATGTAAAACTTTGGTCGGCCATTTTGGCCCCGCCCTACCCCCGGGGGTCATGATTTGAACAAACTTGAATCTACACTACCTGAGCATGCTTCCATATAAATATGATGAATTATGGATTTGTCATTCTTGAGAAGAAGATTTTTAAAGAATTTTCCTAATAAAATATATTTCTATGTAAAACTTAGGTCGGCCATTTTGGCCCAGCCCTACCCCTGGGGGTCATGATTTGAACAAACTTGAATCTACACTACCTGAGCATGCTTCCATATAAATATGATGAATTATGGCTTTGTCATTCTTGAGAAGAAGATTTTTAAAGGATTTTCCTATATATTTCTATGTAAAACTTTGGTCGGCCATTTTGGCCCCGCCCTACCCCCGGGGGTCATGATTTGAACAAACTTGAATCTACACTACCTGAGCATGCTTCCATATAAATATGATGAATTATGGCTTTGTCATTCTTGAGAAGAAGATTTTTAAAGAATTTTCCTATATATTTCTATGTAAAAATTTGGTCGGCCATTTTGGCCTCGACCTACCCCCGGGGGTCATGATTTGAACAAACTTGAATCTACACTACCTGAGCATGCTTCCATATAAATATGATGAATTATGGCTCTGTCATTCTTGAGAAGAAGATTTTTAAAGAATTTTCCTATATATTTCTATATAAAACTTTGGTCGGCCATTTTGGCCCCGCCCTACCCCCGGGGGTCATGATTTGAACAAACTTGAATCTACACTACCTGAGCATGCTTCCATATAAATATGATGAATTATGGCTCTGTCATTCTTGAGAAGAAGATTTTTAAAGAATTTTCCTATATATTTCAATGTAAAACTTTGGTCGGCCATTTTGGCCCCGCCCTACCCCCGGGGGTCATGATTTGAACAAACTTGAATCTACACTACCTGAGCATGCTTCCATATAAATATGATGAATTATGGATTTGTCATTCTTGAGAAGAAGATTTTTAAAGAATTTTCCTAATAAAATATATTTCTATGTAAAACTTAGGTCGGCCATTTTGGCCCAGCCCTACCCCTGGGGGTCATGATTTGAACAAACTTGAATCTACACTACCTGAGCATGCTTCCATATAAATATGATGAATTATGGCTCTGTCATTCTTGAGAAGAAGATTTTTAAAGAATTTTCCTATATATTTCTATGTAAAACTTTGGTCGGCCATTTTGGCCTCGCCCTATCCCCGGGGGTCATGATTTGAACAAACATGAATCTACACTACCTGAGGATGTTTCCCCATAAGTTTCATCTTTCCTGGCATAGTGGTTCTTGAGAAGAAGATTTTTAAAATATGCCACCAAATTTTCATTAATTCCCAATTATCTCCCCTTGAATGAGGGCGTGGCCCTTCATTTGAACAAACTTGAATCCCCTTCACCTAAGGATACTTTGTGGCAAGTTTGGTTGAAATTGGCCCAGCGGTTCTTGAGAAGAAGTCGAAAATGTGAAAAGTTTACAGACAGACAGACAGACAGACGGATAGACAGACGGACAGACAGACGGACGCCGGACAAAATGTGATCAGAAAAGCTCACTTGAGTTTCAGCTCAGGTGAGCTAATAATAATGATAAACGCTAAAAATACAAAATAAATTATCTGTTGATGAATAGTAGGTCCACATCGTATTAACTAAAAGTAAATCACAGTAAACTTCTTCAGGAAACTTACCGTTGCAACTCAATATGTTGAGAGGCTTAATTAATATAATCTAGTTTTGTCAAATAGTGCTTTTTGGATTATAAGAGTGTGTATACCAAAAATGGGGTCACGGTAACGTAAATTTTTGGTATACACACTCTTAGTCATTTTGTCACATTGTCTGGCCTCTTGTAATTAATATTTATAATTGAATATTAGTATATATTAACTTCAATTTTCAGAGAAAAAACAGAAGAAGACCCTACGTAAACTTCATCCATTCAATACTACATGTCCAGGACGAAAGCGGAAGAGTCACAATCAAACTAGTTATGGACATCAATGCAACATTGCGAAAAAAATGAAAGCAAAAATCCTTAAAGGTACATTGATGCTTTTTAAATTCATCCGAGCAATTCAGGTGACCTTTTGTTTTCTGTTTCAGTCTGTGTGTTCACATTTTCAGATGGTTCTCTTAAACTGATGAACCAATTTAAATCAATGTAATATCTGTGGGTGAAAGGGAACAAAAATTTTGAAATACAATGCCCCTTCTGAGGAGTGGTTTAAACCATAAGAATAACTGTTATTTTTAGAAATATTTTTTTCCCTGAACTTCAAGCAGTAAAATTGCTGTAATGATTGAAATAAGCAATTAGACTACAACCAAATTAAAAAAAAAATCATGACCCCTACCAGAGGGGTCCTGCAGATTTTAGGGATCCAATTTTCATATACTGAAACTGCATTCTTTCATCAAAATTCTTCTTCTTTTCCTCTGTACATATATTAAGCAGCTGAAGTACATTGTTATGATGAGAAAGGATGTCCCTTCCAAAATTTTATCATTACCCTTTTCTTCAGAATTACTTTTGGTGACGTCAACAGCTTCCAGTATAAAACCTTCAGCTTCAGTAATAACGACAGCTTCATCTTCCTGTCAGACGACAGTTACCCAATCCTGTCACACCCTGAATGTGTCAACTACCCCATCACCTTTACACAATAATAGATCATCAATAACTGTACCAACAGCGTTACCAACAACTAACTTAGCCATTACAACACATGGTACAACATCAACAGTAACAACAACTAAAATGCCTATAACAACACATGGAGCAACAGTACCAACAAGTAACATAGCAACAACAACCAATGGATCAACAGTACCAATAACTAGCATGGCTATAACAACATGGGGTTCAACATCAACAGTACCGACAATTAACATACCAATAACAACATGTGGTTCAACAGTACCGACAACTAAATTAACATCAATCACTGGAACATTGCCAACTACATTCCCTGCAATATCAAGCACCTTATCATCTTCCTCAGTAGCAACACCAATATGTTCAGCAGCAGTATTTTCTCAAGTGACTTCCAGCTCATCCAATCAGGTTCCAAGTTTCTCAATAACAAGCACCCCGTCAAGTAATGTAGCAACATCCAGTATTGGGGGTATTACCGTCTCAAGTCTCGTAACCTCTACCAGTAGTATACAGAGTACAGTATCAACCTCGTCGACGATAACATCAAACTGTGCAGTTACAGTTACAGTACCTGTAACAAACAAACTAGGTGAGAGAAAAACGGAAAACATAAATTTTAAGTCTAGCATTAAATTATACCAATAATAGGCAACAGAAAAGCAAATGCAGTTTTAAAATGCTGAAGGTTTTATCGTTTATTTATATTTTTTTATTTTCAGCAAAAATTATGCTAAGTTTTAGTATAAATAACTTCAACAATTTTGATAATCACACTTCAACAGCTCTTGAATCATTCAAATAAAATGTAGCTTTAGTGATTTTCCTAAAAAATCTTAAAATCTTAAAAATCTTAAATCTTAAAATGTAATTTTAATTAAAATGCAAGCAAGCCAGAAACAGATTTTTTTTACAATAATTCCAGAGAATAATAGTCATTTTTATTTTCATTAAGAGTTTTTTTTTTTCATTAATAGATCAATGAATATTCCAGATTATACCTATGTGCTCTCTGTTTTTTGTTCAAAACTATCTACCAGTATCCATCAGTATAATTGTTTTTCATTTCCCTTTTGATTGTATATTTTTAGGAACTCCAAACACAATCACAAACGAGGAAAACAATTTTCTACGTTATTATCTGTTAGCCCAACTTGGTACACATGCTCTCAGATTTCTGTTTGACTCGTTTGTTCCTCCTGTGACACTGACCAGTCACCTGAAGAAAGTACAAGCAACGTTAAAGAAGCGCTGTAATCCTCAACAGTTGACCGTCTTATATCCAGGTAATAAATATAGGATCTCCCAAAATTTGTAGTTGGATATGATTTTTATCCAATGAGTTGTATGTGTTTTTTTTTATCCCCGAGACCTGGTGAGGGAATATCTTTAATTTACTGTAAATTTGAATTAAATTGATAGGTACCCAAACTCTTGTGGTTACATTGATAATGAAGCATCTTCAGGTATTGTAATATTGAAGTCTGCCACCCCTGTAAACATTTCAAAATTGAATTGATTTTCCTTCTTTGAAAAAAGCTTTGTAAAAGCTTCTGACCTCGATATACTAGTACATGTTTCCTCAGAATACCATTGCATATACATATACAGGTATTATCATTCAAATATATACTCAATGATCTCAATAGAAACAGTTGAAT